CAGGGCTGGGGGGAGCCTAGCACTGGGTCTCCACACACCACCCTGTAGACATACGCCAAAGTCAGGGAGAGTTTATCTTGTATTCCAGAAAGTCTATTCTTCTGAACATGGTGGTACCTAAGTATCTAATTCAAAGTTCATTAAAGTACTTTTAATGGAAGTAAATATACTTCCAACTAAGGAAAGTGAATGAGGTGGGAAAACCTACGTAACATCAGATTGTTCTGTAGGGAAAAGTCTAGAGAGTGCTGAACTGACAGCGTGGTTTTCCTCTGTCCCATTCTCATTTAATGGTGTGAATGCCTCAGCAGTTTCAGGAGATGCATCGACTGTGCAAAGGCAGGTTTACTCTGGGACAGCAGGGAGAGACCCCAAATATTATGGGAATCCATTTCCATTGAATTGCAAGGGACCAAGGTTTTAGTATCTGCTACGTATATGCATGTCACAGTACCTGCGTCTGCCAAACATAAAGGCAGCCTTTCAGGTCCACCCTATGACATAGCTTTCCATATAATCTGGGAGTTCTTTGTAGGGGAGGAGAAGACAAAGACTAACTTGATGTAAATAAATACAACAGCTGCTTGTGTTAGATTTGGGAAAGTTGTTAAAAAAGTTAAAAGCTCTAATAAACACTTACCATCTCTCTGGATTTCCCTTCCTCCTTTTCCCTTTCCTTTCCTCAAAGAGGGGAAAATAAATGAAATTCTCCTGAATGTGGCTCTGTGAAAGGAGCTTTGCAACAAGCTGTTGGGAAGACAGTTGTTGTAGAATTCATCTGACAGCCTACAGTAAATCTGAATTAATTGCCCTCCATCATTTCATTGACTGGAGGTCCAGTCAATATAGTTAGTGAGTCTAGGGCATGAATTGGCTCATTCTAAAATGACCATGTAATAGAGGTCAGGGGAATCATATGCCTGTAAGTACTTTTTTTTCTATATTTAATTAAATATAGCACACCCTTAAAGTCAGATTCACAGCAGAAAAATAAGATTTCCTTGTAAGTGACACCATCTTCTCACAACTACTTTTCATATTTAAGGATGGTTTCTTCTCTGGAGCAGGTAAATCCTGCAGCAGTGCAGGAGACGGACCCAGGAAGCCGCCTACAGAAACCATTCCCTCATCCCGCTTGTGCCAGTGTGCGCTCCCACAAGTAAGCCAGAGGGTGCGGTTGTGCTTGGCAACCTGCTTTATAGCAAAGCTTCGTAAACCACTCATTTTTCAAGGCTTCCTTCTTCCAGAGGTGCTATAATGAGACTGGAGGTCTGCTCGAAGCCCTGTATAACTTGCTTCTCCTAATAACTGATGGACTCTAAGGTTAAACCTGCCAACTATGAAACTAGATGCTCGAATTCCTGACTATGCCATTGACAGATAACTTTGCTAAAGGAAATAAATGTTAGCCCTCAGAAAACACATCAGACCTCCCTCAGGTTAGTGAAGACTATGAACAGTGACAATCCTTACACTTAAACACTCAGTAACACCCTCATCGTGCTCTCTAATAGAGCAAAGCCATTAAGTTGTCCCCATTGTAATTTAGATCACAGAAGCGACTTCCACAGATTCTTTCAGGTTAAAATAACTGGTATATAGAGAGTAGGCAAAATTATTCCACTGTAGCTACGTGCTTAATTATATGGAATACTGCATAAATTGTCAAGTGCAAAGAATTATTCTGATAAATTAAAATACTAATTAAATAGGCTATTGCAGAATTTTGAGAACATTATAGGGCTCCGCTTCTTCAGGTAATTTGCATATCCTTCATCTAGTGAATTTAATTTAAAGGCCTCCTTTTTTGTGTGTTTGGAAGCCCTTTTTGTTTCAGTGGAAGATTAAAAAATGGATTTATATATTGTTAACTGGGTTGGGATTTTTTTTTTTTTTTAATAGCTGTTTTTATTATGCCTCTTTGCTGATGAGTTTGTCAACTCTCCATTAGTATTTCAGGACTTTAAACTGTGGCCATAAAAAATCAACTTTGGTGGGATGTGCAATATACCATGTTAGCCAGAATTATCATTTCCAGTTCATAAAATTTGCAACAGAAACATCATCTGCTGTATGTTTGTATTAGAATAAAAGTGTACTAGCAGGTAGTACACTAAAATACTTTAAAAAGTATTTTCAAAATATTAGTTGCTTGTTCTTAAGATCTGAATTTATTTTCCCACCACTTCTTCCTCATCTATTTATAGGCTATTGACTATGTTTTTTTGTCTTAAATTCTCAATTATAGTTATAGATAGAAAAAATTAGGTAGTTATATTCACTCTTCAGCAGCTTGAAGCAGCTGCTTGATATGTAGTTGATGCTTCAGCTACAGCACCACTGTTTTTGACAGCATTTCTTGGCCTCCCTGAACTGCTTGTGGAGTTCAAGGTTAGCTAAAATATGCTCCTGTACACGCCTGGAGTGAACATGCCGGAGACTGTCTGCTGTGTCTCTCTCCACAATCTGGCAGTGCTTGAGCTTGACCATTTTCAGGTTATGATTTAATCAATAACACGTCATGCCTTTGTGCCTCCTAATTTTGGCAGCGTTTATGTTAGCATGGCTGTTAGAGCTGTCCTTTGTGTTTTAGCCAATATCAAGGGGGGAAGGGGGTGTTAAGTAAACTTTTTTTTGTTTTTAATATCAAAGCTTCAATAATTAAAGTCTGCAGGAAACCTATAGAAAGGAGGTCAAATATGTAATAGTAATTATAAAATTCAGTGTTTCAGCAGAGCCAACATTTTCTATTAACTGTTCATGTGGTAGAAAATTACACGCTGGGATTTAAGCCTTGTTGTTTACTTATACCCTTTTATTTTGCAGCCACTCTGCTGTGCAGTTTTCTTTACCCTAAGCTACCAAAGGATCATTTGTTGGACCATTCAGTTTCTTTGAAGGAGGCTGTGGAGCTCTCTGGTTTTATAAATCTTCTAAATTTTTGCATTTCGTAGAAATTTGCCTTTAATGTGTATGCTAGGTGTGAGGTGGTCAGTGTGGTAGCATGGCACACCTTTGCAACGAAATGGCACATCCAAAAGGGAGAATGGTGTTACATGACATGGCAGGTCATCAGCCATCAGTGAAGCAACATACTCCAGAGTCCATCTCAAGGCTAAAAATCAAGCTTGTGGGCAAAGATTTACTTGTTTTTTGGAAATTCATACTGCACAACATATATAACACAGTGAAAATGTAGCCTCAAATCGCACGGCCCGGGTGACGTTCCTTCTCATGTGGTCCCTGTGACTCTGGGTGGAATAAATATGTTTGCGAATGTGTAAAGCATGGCATGAGTATTAAGTACCTGAGTATTGTATGTGGTTTTTAGGCTGTCATCCAGCAAAACGTGCGTTTAAGCTTTCTTAGCTTGGGACTCCATGTTCCTATCTGCTTAATCAGTAGCATGTTAAAAAGAAGCAAAAATAAAGCTGTGTGGGTCTAAAGGATGGGCAGAGCTTTCCTCTCCATTTAAATCACGGGCAATATTCATGCCTTGCTGAAGGTAGTCAGAAAAGTTTCTCCATATTAGAATTGCTTGACTCTTTGCACATACAAACTCTTACCAAAATCTTTCCACGTTTTGGATATATGAGGTGAGGTTGAGCCGTAACAGTACGACTTGCCTCTGAAATAAATGTGAGTCATTTGGACAAACTAAATAAAGTATCCATTCAGAATAATATTGTTTCTGAGAATTGTCTGCTGCAGTCTGAATTGTTCTGAATATGTTTCAAACGGCAACAATTAAAGAGTATTTTTCACAAATGAAAGAAAAGCATATTAATTCCTTTCAGTATTTTTATGTAAATTTACAGTTTAAAATATGTTCTAGCACACTTCTTGTCCTTTCTGGTAGGAATGTTTCCTTTAGGCAGCTTAAATTGAGAAGCTGAGTCTATCCAAATTGTGTCCGTAATCAAAGGAAATAGATAGGTGCCTGCAGATGTGTGTAAGATATGTGGGATGACTCATCGTATTAAATGTCCATCCCTTTCCATTGACTGCAGAGAGAACCTAGGTGACTCACTTGGATTACATAGTCAATGACTAGACGGCTAAAGGGAGGAGAGTTGAACAAGGCTGCAAGGCTTCATTTCTACTCATAAATAAATCAAGCCAGGTGCCTGGGTTTTGGCCATGAGTCCAACTGACACAGTTTGCATCTAGAAGGTTAAAGTCTTCCCATCCAAAACTGGATGACCTTACCCATACCCCCAGCTGGGAATAATCTCATCCTTGTGCTGTCCCCAGAACTGTGACTGGGCATTGTTTTGTGAGAATACTAGTGAGCAGAGACCAAAATCATGTGAAGACCATAGTAATGATTTAAAAGTATGGGCAATGGTAAGACAGTGCTCAAGTTCATGCCGTGGACATGTTTCGGTTACAAGTACAGATGTAGTCTTAGTGATTACTACCTCTATTTTGCATTTAGCTGTTTTATGCTTTATTTTATTTTATTTACTTTATATACTTTTACTGACATAGAAGCTGATAAATAGGGAATATCTAAATTTTTAAAAGGAAAATATTGTGCACTGCATCCTGATGTTGTGAGATAAACTATTTATCTTACCTGCTAGGTAACAGTCTGTCATTGGTTGCAAAATGTCCTACACAGTGACAGTGCTGTTGTAATGGTAAGGTGCTGCCCTGCTCTTCACTGCAAGGAAGACAGTGGGAAGTTTCCACTGAAGAGAACTTGCCAGACATATTGTGTATATGTGTTAAATGTGTGTAATACTGCCTATACAAGGGAACTAGAATTAGTTTGGCTTTCTTTTTCACATAATAATGAACAATTAATGGCATGCCTATGCGTTCAAAAAACTGACTAACAGAGTTGCTATCAGGGAAAGATATTCCACAGATGGCATAGGTAGGAACTGTCATGAATTTATTGATGGAGGAAAGAAGGTTGGTTATACTGTAAATGCTGCAAAATTGTGCATATTCCAGCTTTCCCGTAACTCTTTCAATCTCAATCTTCCTTACAGCCATAAACAAAGAGGAGCTTGAAAAAACAACTGGACTGAAAATTCTGCAGACTGGCGTGGGGGAGGTAAGTGGCTTAGGGGCATTTTACACTCCCAAAAACATTTTAATTGTTGTTTTTTTAAGAAATCCTGGAGCTCATGAACGTTTGTGAGCTACCAGTCTGATAGTGCTAAGGGCCTTTTTATGATACAGTTGCATCTGTCAAAATACAATCTGCTGCACAAATAGCACTATATCCCACAGAGAAAAAAATACCATCCTTATAAGAAAAGTGCAGCCGGCTTTAAGAAATGCAGTTTTTTGCTTTGTTGTATCACAGGAACAAAATCCCCAAAGATGAGCACAGCAACTGAAGTTGTCGTATTATTCCCCTTGGTTTTGATGGAGTGCTATCTCATCTAGATCAATGAAAGTTTAAATTTGGGGTAAAGAGTCTTCAGATGTTAGAGAGAATCTGACAGTGAATGACTTGCTTATTTTGGATGTAACTTGAAACATGAATAAAACGTGTCTGTTATTATGGTGATATCACTAAGTAAAAATTCCACCAAGCAGTTGATCATTTATTAATAAAGATGATGCTATCCGCTAAGAACCTTGCATGAACTACAGTTGATTGCTAATTCTAGTGCTAATTTTGTGTACACAGTTATCTTTTTTTTTCCCTTTTCATTTAAGTAATTTTGCTAGTGGTGAATGCTCACAGGGCTAGACAAATGCCTTTTTCTTGTGATTACATTATTCTTAGTATTAAGAATAATGAATTACTAACTTGTAATATACTCAAGGAATTTACTTTTTTTTCTTTTTTTACTGATTTTCATTTTTTATATTTCTAATTTTTATCAGTTCAATGCCTAAGAACTTAACTTGCCAGGATTTCCGAGGTTCTTTGGTAACCTTATTCACATTATTAAAAGACTTGGTCCTGAAGAGGTACCAACACTGAGACCTGCTGAGATGCTCAGGGTCAAAGCTGTAAGAATTAGAACTTGGAAACAAACATAGGTGAAATCATCAGAAAATGAAAGCCAGCATCTCTCCTTAACTGGACCTGATTTAACTAGTTGAGGTTCTCAAGGGTGCATAACCTCAAGAGCTGGGAAGTGTATCCTGGAGCGTGGATGTGCACCTCAGGCTGTGTCCTGACTTCAAGCCAGAGTGAAGCTTGCGTTTGGGCTATGCACAAGCCCTGGTATCTGCTAAATAACAGGACAACCAGGACTGTGGCACAGACTACGGAAGCCACATTCAGTAAAATTTTACCCAACAGTACTCCTCATGCTGATGAAATACGTCCATGTACTTTGTCCGATTCCAGTCATTGAATAGATTCCAGTTGACTTCAAAGTCAGCTGGAAAATGAAAGCCCACTTCACTTCATATGCCTACTGTTAAATGAATTGTTATCTTATATGTGGTCAATGGAGAAAGAAAGCACTTTTGGATATTTGAAATGCAAGAAGTTGTCACCTGTTAAATGCATCATTAATCCACATTGTAGTAATAAGGTTGTTGCAACCATGGTAGTCTAAGGATGTACTGGAGATACAGCCTCGAGGACTTCCTAGCTTTTTTTAAGACCAGCTAATAGAACTGGAAAAAATAGACAAGTTCTTAGGCTAGAGATCTCCCCAGTCTGGTTCTTGTGCTTGGTTTAGTAAAAGTCACTGCAGAACTCATCTCCCATATATTTAGGCTATCATAGCTTTTAAAAATTCTGGTGATACTACTTGGATTAATAAAGACTTTGACAGAAGGTTGTACTTTACACTTTGCCAAATATGTATTTTTAGAAGGCAAAAAGTGAAAATGAATTAACCAAAGGGAAGCAGACATTTCAGCCTAAATATATTCCAGGCTACATCTGAGATGTGGTGATCAACAACAAAAGAACCAAGTGGTTTGGAACATTAAGGTGATAGAAGAACATTTATTCAGCTGCTTATATATTTTGTTGGATGTGAATTCTCCCAGCTGTGTACATTCCCCTTTTTAAGTCTTATCAGATATGATTGTGTACATAATGAATACATTTGTGCAGTCTCACCTACATGAAAAATAATGGAGTGCTGTAACCAAGTTGTTTCTTTGTTGATAGGGTATCATCAGATTCAGGCTATTTCAGGTTAAATCTAACTGTGTTAATCCAGTTTTGCAGTTTGTTTTTGATTCACCCTGGTGTTTAACAGTGTTAAATAATAGAAAGTACATATTTTAACATAATGAAGGAGCCTTTTGTTGAATAAGGATTTCTTTTTCTTCACACTGTAGGAATGGAGTTATATGTAATGGCGACTGTAAATCAAAGTCAAGATGCTCAAATCAAAAGTACTTAGAAAACACTCTTTAGTTTCAGAATGAGAAATGGCCTTTTTGTTTGGACAGTAGGTCAGATTCATGACAAAGTTAATGGATATATAATATTCACTTGCAGGACTGTAAAATAAAAAGGATTGATTTTGCATGGCAAGTTTCATATCTGAAATAGCTCAAGAGAAATATAGCTGAGATACTAGTGACAAATGGAGCAGCTGTATAAACAAATGCAGGAGCTGTTCTAAGCTCAGCAATAATTCATGTGTTGCTCTGGACAGTGGAATCTGTTTTAGGTGTTGATCTATGATAGCAGGATTTGTGCCTCAGGAAGAAATGTGGAGACACCAATGACTACCCAGGCCTTGGGTGCAGTAGAAGGAAACCATCTCTTTCTCTGTGGAGAAGAGAAATGCTTCTCAGAGCTCCTCAATCTCTCTCTCTCTCTCTCTCTCTCTCAGCATTTCAAAAGCAACAACAGATTATAAAATTCACACCAAGCTTACTGAGCCGTTCAGTCAAGTCCTGGGAGGGCTGATGAATTCCTTTTATGCCACTGCATAAACATGTGCTATGTAGTCATTAACAACACGGGTCTGGAGTTTACCACAGCTACAATACAGTTCATCATCTTTATGTCATGTAAAAGATTTCCACAGCTTCAGTGAGTTTTTTGGATACAGCCGAGGTTAGCTGCATTGTGTCAGCTTAGGGCAGGCTCTGCTTTAGCAGGATTAAAAATGAGTTCCTTAGCTGCAATGTCAAAAGCTGCTCATGTGTCAGGACGTGGACTTAAAAGTTCTATACATTTCATGGGAAGGTTTGGATGATATAGTGCAAAGCATTGTCTGGACTGGGGGTAAGCAGAGCTTCTTTCAGGTCATTGTGGAACAACAGACCCTTACTGATACTTCCACAGCACATCCCCTTCAGCATCTAACATTTGCCAGCAGAATATTCAATGGCCCAGGTATCTAGGATAGATGGAGTTGGATTGGAGTTTGATGTGCTGTGTACCACTCTTAAAGTGCTAATTATTTTGGCACCTATCTTGTTTGTAAGAAGGCTGTTATACTAGAAAATGAGGAATAACTCTGCTACAGAGAGAACCAATGGCTGTACTGAAATCCTGAGGATGTGTGCATTGCTGTAGTACTGACTACCTCTGGAATTATATTTCCTAAGATGTTTATTTTCTATTTGGAGTTTTACAGCACCTATAACAGCTCTAAAACTCCTATACGGTAGCCCTCCAAGATTTGTTTGAGTCATTGTCATGCATGATGTTTGTGCTGCACAAATTCATCATGAGCTTTTCACACCTTCTTGGTTATTCAGATACGATGAAACTGCTGTTGTCTTTGAGGTTTTTTCTTTTGATCTCCCACACATGAAGTAAATCTCTGAAGTCCTAAGGTCGTCTTCAGAAGTTCAAGAACCTCCTATAGTTGAGTGCATGTGAGGGTATGAATGTAAGTGTTGTGTTATCTACGTGTATATTTGCGTAATACCATAAAAGGCATGGTACTGGTAAAAAGCCTGAAGAGCTAAACAGCATTTAAGTAGGACCCGTAACTCCATTCTCCTAGCTCCCAACTTGATGTGGACCATTGGGTTTTGCAGAAATAGGAGTTGAACTTATTGCTCTGCATAACTGAGCACCCCTAGAAGATCTCAGGGGCAGCTTTCGGTCTCAGATGAAGGGAAAGCCTCCTTACCGGCAGCATGGCCCCACCTAACTCCTGCTGAGTTGAGGATTCAGCAGGGTCAGGACCCCCAGTCCCATGCAAATGTTAGTCCAACTGGACTTGTGCCCAGGAGCTGGTCTCCAGCCCAAGGGAGATCAGCAGGCACCACGAACCACAGCCCCGCACAGAGGTCACTGGGTAACCTGGAATTCCTTCCACATCCTTTAGGAACTTAAGTACGTTTTTCTCTTCACGTAAGCACTTTTGAATTATTATAAAAGTGCAGTGTTTTTCGGTTCAATTCCACGCTGAGCTAGGCTGTGACTGGAGTTTGTCTGGTTCAAGTCCAGATCCAGTTTACGAAAATTTCAAATAATGGTTCAAATGCAGTTACTATGGCATGGAAAAATAACTTTATCCAGCTTTTGGCTGAAATTTGTTTTCAACAACAATTTCAGTAAAATAGGTCAGGTTCTCCAGTGGCTCAAGGAAGTGTAATAATTCAAATCAGGTTTTGGAGGCTAAGAGTCCGTGATTTGAATAATAAATGGTCTGAATCAAATCCTGAAACAAACCAAGGAAATGGCACTGTTTCTGTGGGTGAAACAGCACCCACCCTGGAATACGTTATTTTAAATTAACTCCCCCAATTTCCCAGTAGGCCTGCACAAAATACACTCGTCACTGGAATTGTGTAACTTTATTTGTAGGATTTGAATCATGGTTCTCATATGGCAGACATAAGAATTAGAATAGTTTTCTAAACCAAATGGAAATAACCCAAAATATATGCGAAATGAACACTTTGTTGTACCTCTAGATGTTCTAAAATAGAGCAGTGATATTTTGACATGTTTCAGGATATTCTCATTTAGAGATATTTTGATAGGTGTAGAACTATGTTGATGTTGCATGAAGTGATGTTACTACAATAAAGAAAAGAAATCTGCATTTAAAAATCCTAGTGAAGCTAGAAGACATGATAAGACACACGTTCCAGTGATATGCAAGCCCCTCTGAGGCAGGAGTCAAATTTCTAACTTATTATCTTCCTTAATGT